TCTTCTTATCACCGTTATTTAAAAGGTGTGGGAAAAACAATTTTAACAGTGAACAGGATTTAAAGTCTATCTACTACAAAGAGGGTCATTAAGGGGACCTGAAGAATGTCATGTTGGGAAAGACATTCTTCAGGTCACAATGCGTCACTCACACCTCACTCTCCGCCTATATATATGTCTTTCTACCTCTGTATATTAGAAGTGATCAAGGGCCCAGGACCGAAAAAGTTTTCTAATAAATGTCATACTGTTTGCTTACGTGTCTTTCTAAACCAACTTGTCGGTATTTATTACCAAGGTTTATAAGTACACGCTATATACACAGAGACAAAACCTCTTGGTGTACATATATAAGGCTGCACGTAACCTGTTCACCACCAATGGGAAAATAATTCTATATATGTGGTATACAATGTGTTTAAACGTAATTAAACCTGTTTGTATTATAGGGGCTTCTGCTGCTGAAAGTGTCTAGTAAGAAAGGAGAGATGTTTAATGCTCTGAATATCTCGCATGGTGAGGCTAAGAAGAGAGTCGAAGTCACATCAGACTCCCAGGCCCAATTAATCGTATGCCTCAGTAATACAAGCTCGGTCTATTATTACTAATGATAGTACACAAAGTCTTTCCCTGAATCGTGCACCTTCCAAATCTTGTTTAAAGTCTTCCGCATCCCCTGCTCTCATTATCACTCCTACTCACACCTCTTCGTCTGATCTTTATGTTCGAACTAAAGTGGACAAACGTGGCAAGTCAGCGACTCAGCCACGAGTTATTTCCCTTCTTACCTGATTTGATTCTGATTCTAATGACCAGAGATTTGGTAAGATGGGTAAGGAAGAAGGATGGGTAAGGATGGAAATATTGGAAAAGGGTTGGAGGGGGGGAAGAGGTAGGATATAAAAGGTAAGTGGCCCAACCACTTTGGTGTAAGTTACAAAGTGTATGTAAATTGATAATATATTCTTTAAGGGGTATAATACTAACCCATCAGAGTCACATAGATATAATAGGTATATAAGTACATGACTCTGAATTGGTAGTAGTTATACAAGTTGCAATTGCTTTTTTTTTTTTCGCGATTGCACAACGGATATTTGTACAACAAGAAAGGCAATAATTTTCTGGCCGGTTTATAAGCTCGTGACAATAGCTTCTTAATGGTGGTGTCCAACAATAGTCAATAGCATAATTTTACATTAGAAAGTTATTTAAGATGTCTCCCTAATTGGGGGCGATGATTTTCTCAGTATACATAGAAGGGTTCTGGTGGTATCCAATCTTCTTCGTCAGGTAAGTTACTCAAAATCATGGGTCGAGGGTAATCATCTTTATGAATAAAACGACGAACCCTCTGTGGGAGAGTCATTCTTTGAGTCCTGTGAGGCGGAGTATTGATGGTGTAATCGGTGGTATTTATCACTTGTATAGGATGTTCTCTATCTGCCATGTATAGTTCTTGCATTGTATAAAGTTGTTTCTTTTTTAGAGTGTATCTTAGCATGTCTTAGCCCATGGGTCCCACGAAGACGAACTCTGTATTGCGATCATCTTCGAGTCATGAAACCACTAACTGGGGACGTGACAGGTCCCGCAGTATCTCCCCACTCGAGAACAAAAATTTCGAGCACATCACCATTAAAGGAACCGATACACTTTAAACAGGAAAGAACTAAAAGCCATAAATGAAATCGAAAGAAACCCCAAGTATTTCTTTTCCTATGCCAAGTCAAAGTCGAGAACAACGTCCAGTATTGGGCCCTACTTAAACAAGATGGTACTACACAGATGATAGCAAGGAAATGAGTGAGCTACTCAAGTCCCAATATGACTCAGTTTTTAGCAAGCCGCTAACCAGACTGAGAGTCGAAGATCAAAATGAATTTTTTGAGAGAGCCACAGAATTTGGTTAACACAAGCCTATCTGATGTTATACCCGACGCCAAATGACTTCGAACAGGCGATAAATGACATGCGTATGCACTCTGCCCCAAGGCCAGACTCATGGAACTCCGTGTTCATCAAGAACTGCAAGAAGCCCCTATCACGAGCTTTTTACCATCCTATGGAGAGGGAGCATGGACACGGGGGTCGTCCCACAGTTACTAAAAACAACAGACATAGCCCCACTCCACAAAGGGGGCAGTAAAGCAATAGCAAAGAACTACAGACCGATAGCACTAACATTCCATATCATAAAAAAACTTTGAAAGGGTCCTAAGAAGCAAGATCACCGCCCATCTAGAAACCCATCAATTACACAACCCAGGGCAACATGGGTTTTAGAACAGGTCGCTCCTGTCTGTCTCAACTATTGGATCACTACGACAAGGTCCTAATGCACTAAAAGACAAAAAGAATGCAGATGTAATATATACAGACTTTGCAGAAGCCTTCGACAAGTGTGACCATGGCGTAATAAAAATGCGTGCTAAAGGAATAACAGGAAAAGTTGGTAGATGGATCTATAATTTCCTCACAAACAGAACACAAAGAGTAGTAGTCAACAGAGTTAAAGTCCGGGGCAGCTAGGGTTTGAAAAGCTCTGTTCCACAAGGCACAGACTCGCTCCCATCTTGTTTCTCATCCTCATATCCGACATAGACAAGGATGTCAGCCACAGCACCATGTGTCCTTTGCAGATGAAAACCCGAATCTGCAGGGACAGTGTCTTCCATTGCAGACACTGCAAGGCTCCAGGCGGACATCAACCAAATCTTCAGTGGGCTGCAGAAAAACAATATGAAGTTCAACGATGAGAAATTTCTATTACTCAGATATGGTAAAAAACGAGGAAATTAAAACTCATCAGAGTACAAAACTAATTCTGGCCACAAAATAGAGAAAAAACCACCAACGTCAAAGACCTGGGAGTGATCATGTCGAAGGATCTCACCTTCAAGGACCATAACATTGTATCAATCGCAGCTGCTAGAAAAAAGACAGGATGGATAATGAGAACCTTCAAAACTAGGGAGGCCAAGCCCATGATGACACTCTTCGGTCACTTGTTCTATCTAGGCTGGAATATTGCTGCACACTAACAGCACCTTTTAAGGCAGGTGAAATTGCCGACCTAGAAAATGTACAGAGAACCTTCACGGCGCGCATAACGGAGATAAAACACCTCCAATTACTGGGAGCGCTTGAGGTTCCTAAACCTGTATTCCCTGGAACCAGGGGGAGAGATACATGATTTTTTACACCTGGAAAATCCTAGAGGGACTAGTACCGAACTTGCACACGAAAAATCACTCACAACGAAAGCAAACGATGGCAGACGATGCAACATCCCCCAATGAAAAACAGGGGTGTCACTGCCGTTAAGAGACCATACAACAAGTGCAGGGGCCCAAGACTGTTCAACTGCCTCCCTGCATACATAAGGGGGGATTACCAAAAGACCCCTGGCAGTCTTCAAGCTGGCAAATGGACAAGCACCTAAAGTCAGTTCCTGATCAGCCGGGCTGTGGCTCGTACGTTGTTTGCGTGCAGCCAGCAGCAACAGCTGGTTGATCAGGCTTGAAACCACCAGGAGGCCTGGGCACAGACCGGGCCGCGGGGGCGTTGACCCCCGGAACTCTTCCAGGTAAACTCCAGGTAATGTTGAACAAATTTTGGCAAGTCGTTTGTCGCAGTATTAGGTCCTAATAACAGCAGCAATTAGCTTCTCCACAGTTGAACAGTTCTGTTTCGTGATCCTGCATTTGGTTATTGCCCATAGATTCTCAGTGAAGTTAAGGTTAGGAGAGTTTCCAGGCCAATTTAGAACGTATTTTTTCTGGAAGTTTGGCATGGAACAAGATCCTGCTAGAAAATGCCTTCTCCACCAAGAAAGTCTCTATCCACAAAAGGAAGCAGATGAGTTGCCAGGACTGCTTTGTATTTGTCACTGTTCATCGTTCCCTCAACAATAACAAGCTGGACAGGGCCTTTTTTGGTGGGTGTTTTGGCGCCTATGCTCCATCTCACTACCATTGATCTGTATCCATGTACTTTAGAATGCGCCTCATCTGAAAATATAACTTTTCTCTATTCATCTGTCATCCATCCCCTATGCTCGTGTGCCCACCGCAGCCATTTTTTTCCTTCTTAGCATCAAAAGCCAGAGTTCAATCAATAACTGTTTTTTTGCCGGCTTTCTGACAGTTCTGCCAACTTCAAGGAGCCTTCGTCAAACAGTTGAAGAATCAACATTTACGCCAGCTGAAACCAAATCTCGTTATAGATATTTGCTGGTTTTCTTGGGATCCTTCACACTATTTCTGATAACCTTTTCATCGTGAAGTGCTGTCTTGCGTATGTATATGTGTGTGTGTGTGTACGTATATATCTATATGTATTTTATGGAAATTGTTTTAAAACAAATTGATGAATAACACATCTGCAACACTTGGTTATCTTTGTGGAGACGTTTCTTAGTATAGATACTTATCTTTGCCTAATCTACCGGCATGGCTTACTTCCACTAGTGTTCTTCATCCACCTGTGACGCCTTTTAGAACTGCTTCACCTTTTTGGCTCCAGTACATAAGTCAGCATCGTCGGGTATTTTTACATTCATCCAAAATGATAGCCTGAATACTTCCTAACAAGGCTGAGGGACTGACAGCTTCCAGTTTCTTCTTAAGTCTTGCACCGTATTTGATAGATTCATCAAGTCTGAAGGACTGATTAACTCAAACTACTTCATGTCTTCCACCGTCTCCAGTATTATTCTGTTTTAGACTGATAAAATCACTAGTTGGAGTAACGTCTCGACAGTAAACATAGTGTTGCACGTGTCTGAATAATCTCCCTGAATGTAAGTATATATGTCATGTGCATATGTATGCTGTGTTTGTGTATTTATTAATATCAACGGTGTGGTAGCACAACACTGTAGACATCCTCGCAATGTACTTCGTCCAGTATAAAGCAACGATCACATTGCACATTTACCAGATTGTAAAAAAAAGAAATAATGTAGATCGTTTTAATATATAGGAAAAACTTATTTTCGACGAGGATGGGATTCGAACCCACGCAGGGAGACCCTATTGGATTAGCAGTCCAACGCCTTAAACCACTCGGCCACCTCGTCTGCCATTGTAAGAAAATTATTTTAAAAATTTATATATAACATATTTAATCAAAAATTTTTAATAATATGTATATTCAATAGTTAATAAATACATTTAGGTTATAATTTTCTCTGGTGAGCTGGAGGTCTCCTGACTCACCCACAACCTTTGGTGAGCTGAATGTCGCTTGACTCATCCACCACCTCTGGTGGACTGGAGGTCACCTAACTCACCCACAACCTCTGGTGGTTGGAGGTCGCCTGATCACCCACCACCCCCTGGTGGGGTGAAGGGCGCCTGACTCACCCACCACCTAGTAAGTTTATTCAGGGATACACAAATACAGTTAT